TGAGGAGCTAGCAACAGTACTGTGTGTACTATGGCACACTGACATCTTTTAGTAAAGATTCTTGGGATTTTGTTTTTCTGCAAGCTTAGTAAAACCATTTGTCCAACTGAGGTCTAATTTCATACCCTAATAACTGAGTTTAAAAGTTTGTGCCATACTGTCCATTTTCAAACTGCTCCTCTTTATTCCTGTTGTTGAATTTTTGAGGTTCAGCTCAGTGACAGCACAGCTACTTGAGCCTCAGCACAGGGTAGCAAGCCAGTTCATATTCAAAGTTGTGGTAGGTTGATGTGACCCATGTGAAGTCCTTGCTTTTGTGTCATCACCACAGTTCTTCTCAACTGAACAACTGAAGATAGCATGCATATGGGTACATATTGTGTGCTTGTAAATTACAATTCCAGGATAGATAATCACCTTAATGGACTACCCTCAGATTCTCGAGGTCTAGGCACCTGTTCACATAAACCGTTGGGAGTTTACTATGTCCAGTGATACATTTCAGATTTCATTGGCATCGAACCTTGAGTAACAGAGATTTAAATTTGAGATCTTTGCTCATGGAAATATATATGAATCTACTTTTCAAATTTTTGATCAAATTAACTTCACCTGTGACTATTTTACTATTTGCTGGTGTCTTCTACACATGGCCCTCAGATTTCTGGTGAAGAGAAAAAACTTCTGAACTTTAGTCAGGGCTGGTTTTATAGACCAATAGTGCTGCCCATAAGAAATGCCTCAGAGCTTGTTACTGGACTTTAGTGTTAGAATTTAGGTGGTGGCACTGGAGTCATTAAAATGATTGGATAACAAAAGCCCATTCTCTGAAGACAGCATTTACTGAGCACAGCCATTTTCAATTTCAACCGTAAGACAAAGAAACAACAGAAAAAGTTTACCTAAGACCCAACAAAATATGACGACGCAACAACATACAACTTAGTCTAAGTCAAGATACAACACAAACTTTGCATAAGTCTTACGTAGTCCTAAGAACAGAGTGCCTCCTCCTACTCAGGCAGTCAGAAGCTTTTTCTGGGGGTCTGCAGCTCTTCTTTTTTGGTGAGAATGGTCCCACAGGTTTCATCTTTGCCTGTGCTTTTATGGGTGATCCACACCATTTTCCCCCTCCTTGGCTGCCTTGACAGCAGTATGTCCTTCATGTCTCTTGCTCCTCACATGTCTTTCACATCCCCAGTTTCCAGGAGTTTTAACAAAGTGCCTGCTGCTCACTTTGGGTCACATCAGAGCAGGGGTGGACAGTTATTTGGACTGGAGGGCCACTTAGGCAGATTTGGTGAGCTGTCACAGGCTGGGTCATCACCCCCTTCCCCCACAGCAGCTCACCAAAACTCACCAAAAGTTGCTCTGCGCTGGGCCAGGTGGCTGGAATCGGGGTGCAGGCAGGTGGGGAGCAGCATCCAGGAGCAGGATGGGCATGCAGGGCTGGAGCTGGGATCACAGAGCCATGACAGCTCAGGGCTAGGGCCCAGGCCTGGGGCAGAGTCACAATCTGCTCTCTGCATGACCCTGCAACAGGTGCAGGTACTACAGGCAGGGGTGTGAGGGGGCAGATGATGGCTCTTTATCAGGCCTAGACCCCCTTGCTATCACTGCTCAATGATCCCAAGGTCTCCATGGAGACTGGCAGAGAGCTGCATGGTCAGGCAGACAGGATGGGCCACAAGTAGGCAGGGAGCTGCATCCAGGAGCAGGAAAGGAGAGTGGGGTCTGGGATCTAGGGGTGGCAACAGCACAGGGCTCGGGGCTGGGGCAGAGCTGCAATCCATTCCCTGCACACCCCTACCCATGGAACCAGCACCCATCACAGGAATGTGCAGAAAGAAGATCACAGCTCTACCCCAGGCCCCTGTGATCCTACCCCACAATCCTGACTCCACTTATTCCTCCCACTTCTGAAGGCCACTCCTCACCCACCAATGGCCCCATCCCATTCACCTGGCTGCACACACTGTCACGTGGGTGACACCCCCAGTGGTGGGTGTGGGGCGGACTGGCCAGGGTGCCCAGGCAGTGGGGCTGGGGCTGGGGCTGGCAGCAGTGGCAGCTGGAAGGAGCTACTGCTGCTGGTGCTGTCAGGAAGCAAGTCCAGCCACTGTGCTGCCCCAGCTTCGTTTCATGCCCAGAGATGGGGGGACCAGCTGCATGTGCTACTGCCCAGGCTGCCTTCTGCACCTGGGCTGGATGGGACCATGGGACTCACACCTGGCCGGAAAAAATCCCTTAGCAGGCTAGATTTGGTCCATGAGCTGTTTTTTGCCCACCTCTGTATCAGAGTGTTAAAGCAGTCTCACTCCTCCCCTGATATCTCAGGTCATGCGCTCAACGCCTGTCACTTAGCTCTAAAATTAGTTAACCAAAGAGTGTTAAATATGCCATACATTTGCCAACAAACTAAAGGTTTCTAAAAGAGAGATCAGTCCTAAACCTGTTTCTTTTAGGTCAAAGCACATAAATAGCCAGCCTCTGTCTCCCTTGTTGCATGTTAAGGCTATTTCTACTTTAGGTGTCCCTTGTGAAAGACACATTTAACAATTAAGTAATCAGACTGGAACAACAAATATTTTAAAGCTTTATTATTATTCAGTCTACCAGAGGATGACGATGAATAGCTTCTGGAAAAGCCAATAGTTTTTGCAAAATGTTGAATATCTTTTTAAATGGAATGCTAAAACCTCTTCTTGGCACCAGAATGAAACAAAGAGCAAGAGAAGTCAAATAAAAGAATTCAGTCCTCCCCAACCAGTGACTTAGATGCTAGAAAGAAAAAGGATTATTTTTGAAGGTCCATCAAAATGCTCCGAGTGGTAGCAAGTCAACCATTTGTGGTGAACTTGTGTAGGAGCTTGAAGTCTCTTCACATCATCTCACTAATTTTAAGAACACAGCTCAGGGTTGTGCAAATAGGCTATTAGCCTGAAAAGACTTTTTGCTTATGCTTACCTTGACTTTACCCCATTTTACCCCCTACCTGTTTACCCCAAAGGGTGCATGATTACCTTTTTCAGGATTGAGACTATAAAATTATTCAGGATGCTAAGTCACAAGCTTCCTATTTCAGCTCTATAGGAGGGATATCCACATAGTTTTTCTGGCATTGCTCTAGTTCTTTAAAAACAGAGATCCCCAACTCAGTTATAATTACAGTTAGTTACAGTTCAGGTGAACCTGACCCAGTCTTTTTCTCCAGCCATGGTGTAGGGTGAAGATTACAATTAGGGCCATTGCAGATGGGTCTAGAAAGAACCATTCTGTGACTACATATTGTATGGAGAGCCTGAAGAAAGCCTCCTTGCAAAACATAAACACTTCCCCAACATTGAATTTACCCTCCCCGTGCCCCAGTGGGGTTTGGTCAGAATTCTACAGATGAATCTGGGCCCAACCCTTACATCTCAGCAGAATGGAAATCATGTAAAGTCAAAGTTAGAGTTTTGGGGCTCTTGCTGATACAGCAGTAATTTGCTTTGTTACAGCAGAACGGTAAAAATACCACTCATAGGGAAGGTGCTGTTCTTCTGTCCTGTTTTTGTATGCTGCCCAGCATTGTCCTGGGATCTTGGCTCATGAACAAAGACTCCAGGTACTAAAATAACACAAACAGAGGGAGGGAAGGATGGGAGGAAAGAAGGTAGCCCTACATGACCATTTCCTCCGAGGAGTTAAATGCACAGTCCATAAATAGCAGTGCACCTATCTGCTATGCTTTAGACTCTGATTTTAATGTAGCTCTACTTTTGATAATGAGGTTTGCACCCTAGGAAAAGAGAGGACAAATATTTGTGAGAGATGATCAATGGGAGCAAGTGACACAGCGTTTAATCAGAAAGATTCTGTGCTGTCTAACTGTTGAAATCTTGGTGACACAGAAGGTCAAATCAGATGGTTCCTATTGTCCCTCTCCCTTTAAAATCTATGTGCTCCTCTATGGTAAATATACTGTAAACCATTGGTGACACATAGGGGGTGCATGCAGCTGAGATCAGCCGTGCACCCCCTGGAAGCACCAGCCACGAAACCGGAAGTGCATTTCCAG